TCTTTTTACCTACATTGATGAGATGGAATTTGTTGACAGTTTGTTTTCAGTACTATAAGATAATCCACATGGTTAAAATGAGTCCCCTTTCAAGTTCAAGTGTTTTACAATGTGGTAGAATAAAAACTGTAAGAAGTGATTGTCCAGGAGGGTTCTTCATGAACTCCTGTGAATGGGATTAGGACCCATATAGAGGAAGCATACACCCTTAGGCTTGCTTGCCTTTCTGTGTTCCATGGTGTGAAGATACTGCCTTCCTCCCCTAGAGGGCATGGCATCGAGGAAACAGAGCAGTCTCTTCCCAGACACTTAGCTTGCTGGTCTGGTATCTTGATGCCTGACTTCTCAGCCTCGGGAACTGTGTGAACAAATCCTCTTCCTTTATCGATTACACAGCCTCAGGCCTTTCGGTATAGCAGTTCAAAATGGATTTTTTTCAAGACAAAAAAGTTTAGTATAAAACATATTGCATGTGACTACCGTCATTTTGATAGTGCATACTAAAAATTATTGTTTTTGAATGGTATGATATCCTAGTCTATCCCCTCCCCTCTTTCTTTTCAGTGGAACTAAGGAGTGAACACAGGGCCTAGTGCTTGCTAGGCAAGTGCTCTATCACTTGAACCATGTTCCCAGGCCTTTTTGCTTTTAGTTTGTTTTCAGATAGGGTCTCACGCTGGGGCCAGAGAATACAGACAGGTGAGTAGGTGAGTCAAAGGACAGTGAGAAGCAGATAAAATTGCACGTGGGAAATCTCCACAAATCTGTTTCACATTGGACTCCAGGATTAAGATATGCTACAGAAGGACTTTCCATCTCAGAGGTGGAACAAAGAAGCCCAGAGCTCATTCTAGTTTCTGTTTTCAAAGTGTGGGCTAAGGAACTCAAAATTGGGGAAGAAACAACATTTAGCAAATACAATTTAAACACATACACACACACACACACACAGAGCGAGGGAAGGGGTGACACTGTTCACAAAAAAATGTGCTCATAAAAAAAAATGTGCTCATTACCTGACTTACATAATTGTAACCCCTCTATAGCTCACCTTTATAGTAAAACTAGAAATATAAAGCATTAAAAAAACAACTTACATACAGCACAATGCATTTGAAGCTCTTTGAAGGCCTAACTTCTAGCTTTCTGCACACAAAAACAAGATGATCTCCATTCATGTCCAGCCCCGGTATACATACAGCCTTTCCATTTAAACAACAGTTGTAGGTGAGTCCATTTAGGAATTCCCCTTCTCTACCCAAGGCTTACAGGGGACTTCTCCCCCTCCTATCCCATGTGAAGATTCCACCTCTGCCTGGGGCCCCATGGCCTTTGTTTGGTTGCTGTTTTCACTTTTCACAATAATGGTGAAAAGGTGAGCAGTACAGTGACAGTCCCATAGGGGAGAAAAGGGTGAAGGGAAGAAGATGGTCAGAGAAGACTGCCCCTTCCATGTTTGCTCACTCCTCTCCTACAGTGAATCCTGGGAGAGGAGAAAAGGGGAGATGTTAGCAGGCCAGAAAGTAGCTTTGTATACTGATGAGCTATGAATGTATTGTACCTACTCAGCTCTTCCTTCCCAAAGGAAGACAGTTGGGGTCTGAGGCTCCAGGGCCTGTTGCCTTTTCAGAATTTAAATTTTGCTCCACAAATCTCCATAGATCTTCCAAATCTGTGCTGAGAAGTGAAGGGAGACTGAGTGAGTAAGTCTCCCATCAACCTCAGAGCTACCCAGCACATTACTCCTGGTGATGTGCCTCAGGTGCTAGGGGAGACAGCCTTGTACCTCCACCTCTGTAAGCTGCTTCATGCACGGGCTTCATAGAATCCAGCCTCGTGACTCGGACAATATATAGACATTCTTCATGTTAAAGCTTTATCGTTTAAAAACACTAAGTATGAGAAAGTTCCGTCATTTTAAATCTATGCACAGCATAAGAAACCTACATTTCTCAATGAAAGAAAAAGAAAATCTAGGGGATTAGAAAAAGCCAGTTTCAGTTGCTTAAAATTGGTCAATGTGATCATTGTTAATTTACTTATGTGTGTGTGTGTACACTCTTGTTATCTGAGGGTGATTGTCGAAAGCATGAAAAAGGTTGTAACAAACATCTTTTAAATATATAACTTTCACAGTAAAATCATATAGAAAAAGTTATGCTTACAAAATAAGATTGAGGGGCTGGGGAGGTGGCTCAGTGGTAGAGTGCTTGCCTTGCATGCATGAGGCCCTGGATTCCATTCCCCAGCACCACATAAGCAAAAAGAAAAAAGCCGGAAGTGGCGCTGTGGCTCAAGTGGTAGAGCGCTAGCCTTGAGCTAAAAGAGCTGAGGACAGCGCCTAGGCCCAGAGTTCAGGCCCCACGACCGGACCCCCCAAAAAAAAAACAAAACAAAAAAAACAAAATAAGATTGAATCCCTTCCCTTCTTTTTTTGGTGTGGTACTGGGGCTTGAACTTGGGATCTGGGCATTATTCCTCAGTTTTTTTCCACTAAAGGCTGGTGCTCTGCCACTTGAGCCACACTTCCACTTCTGGCTTTTTGGTGGTTAATTAGAGACAAGAGTCTTCAGACTTTCTGCCAAGGCTGGCTTCAAACTGCAATCCTCATACCTCATAGGAGTAGAGACTTGAACCACCAGTGTCCAGCTAAGAGAGTTCTAGTAATTATTCAATAATTTTCCTTCTCCCCTTGGATGTGCACACTGGTTTAGAGCATTCTCACTGGCATATTTAACACTCAGTTTTGGCTGAGTGTGATGGCACTGTAGTCATGGTTACTTGAGAGGCAAAGACAGGTGTTTAAGATTAGCTGAGCATGCTAAAATACCTTGCCTAGCATGCTCCCAAAAGGACAGGATTGCTTTTATATACAATTGGTATCCAACCTGTATACAGTCATTTTCCCATGGAAAATGGAACAAGTCCCCAAACATTTCTCTTTTCAGTTGCTCTCTACTTTCAGTCCAATCTTTGTCAGATTTTAAACGTGTTTAAAGTGCACATGCATCCCACCAGATGAAATCTCTTCGTGTGTAAGTCAGGAGCAGCTATAAAACCAGCCGTTGCAACAGCTCCTTAAAGCGCAGCTATATTTGGGAGACCTCTAGATGGGAAGGAAAGCTAATGCTTGGTTCTCAGAAGATTAGGTGTGGTTTCAGTGACCTCACTCCAGGAGGGCGGGGAGAGGCGTGGTTCTCCAGTTCTATTTTTAAAATGTTTATAAAGCCCAGGGAGATAGAGGAGAGAGAGACATCTGTCACGTTACGGTTAGAAGTAACAACCGGTGCTAACCTGGTTCCCAGCGGAAAAACACGGAAGGATTTCGATACTTCCACTTCAGCTTAGATTGGGGAACCAAATCCCACCGAGTGGGCGTCCGTCCAACTGGGCTTCTCCAGCCAGCGTGGGCGCTGGCTACCCCTGCCTAGTCGGTCTGCTCCGAGACCAGAAGGGTCAAGGCTCTCAGCGCGGCGCGTGCGATGGCATGGCCCGGGATGATCCAAAGTCTCACTGTCCTCCCCTAGCGTTACCATAGCAACAATGGCATTCTTGAGGTCCTACGGGCTTGCTTTCGTGCAAGATAAAAATCCTCTGACGGGGACCCTCCCTCTCATCCCAGCTAGCTGGCCATTCTCATCTGACTAACTTGGATCAGAAGAGCAATTTCACGTTGCACACAAAGAGCTCGCTCCTGTAATCTTAACGACTCAGGAGGCAGAGAGCTCAGAATCATGGTTCGAAGTCAGCCCAGGTAGGAAAGTCCCTGAGACTCATCTCCAATTAATCATCAAAAAAAAAAAAAAAGCCAGAAGTGAGTTTTGCTTAAGGCCCTGAGTTCAAGCCCCCAGGAAACGGACACACGGACACACACACACACACACACACACACACACACACGCACACACGTCAAATACAGTTTTAAACCCACTGAGGGAAAACGTGCATGCATTAGCTTCCCGGCCCAGCCTGGGAGGGTCCAATGTGGCAGGTCGGTAGGATGGAGAGCATGGGTCTCCCTGACCTTACTTCTAGTTTTCTGGGCTGCCTCACAAAATACCTGGCTCCTAATAGGCCGTGGATAGGCGAGGGAAAGGTGGGGGCCTTTATCTTCCGTAAAACTTTCCTATTTCAGAAGGAAAATCCCAGACGATCGATGGGTAGGAAAGGTTATGGAGCGATCGGTGCAGATAATGGGGGAGGCTCCACACACAAAACAATCACCTGGGACAGGACAAAGAACCAGGCAGGGCAGCGGACCACCTCCAGGCTCCGGGCCCGCCCTGAGGCTATCTCCCCCGGGCTGGAGTCCGAGCCGGCTGACCGCAGACACTGCCCTGAACCGACCCCTGAGCGCGATCGGTCCCTCGGCACTACCGGTGATTATCACATGCGCTTCCGGGAAGCGCAGAAGCCCCCTTCCAGGGCAGGTAGCTGGGCTCGGAGAGCGGGCGACACCGGGGGCCCCCCCAGGACGAGGGGCGCGCGGAACCGGGCCCTCCGCGCTCGGGACGCTGGAGCAGGCCCGAGGGTGTGGGCAGCCTAGGATTCTCCATCTTCCTGCCGGACTAGAGAACAGCACGGCCACCCTTTCCAGCCTCCGTCCCTGGGACGCCCAGATGCCCCGGCCCCAGCCTCGTTTTCCCGAGACCCTTTCCACTTCCACTTTGCAAAGCCCGCGGGTCTGGACCCCGGAACCCTGCCCACTCCGCGCCAGTCGCTGGCCGTCAGCCCCGCCCACGTCCAGCCGGCCCCGCCCATCCCGGAGCGCCACTCTCATCCCATTCCGCCCACACCTTATCTGCATGTGCCCCGCCCCGGCCACGCCCACGTGCCCCGCCCCCTTGGGCCGTGCTGGGCGCCCGGAGGGCTCGGAGGTCTCGGAGGGGGGGAGACCGGGGGGGGGGGGGGACGGAATTTCCCAGCGGGGCTCTCTGGCTTTCCTTGCAACCCGGCGGTCTCTTTCTGTTTACGGAGAGAAAGAGGAAATGGAAAAGGCGGGGAGGCGGTGGCTGGCGTCCTCTGCGCCGCCCCTGGGCCGGATTAGACGCCGTGAGTCAGGGGCCGGCGAGCAGGGCTCGTGCGCGCGGGCGGCCCGCTGCGCACTCGTCCACCCGGGTCCGGACCGTGCGCCTCGCTCCAGGGCCGGCCGCCCTGGCTCCCGCTCCCTCGGGCTCGAGGCTCCCAGCGTGCCCGGCTCCCGCAGGCCGGCCACCAGTTGCGCACCCGGCCCGTCCAGGGGACGCGGCCGACGCGCTGGACCCGCGGGGGCGCACGGAGGCCGCAGGTAACCGAGTGTGGGGCGTATTTTGGATTTCGCCTTTTTCCTGGATATTCGGGGGGGGGGGGGAGCGGTTCCCACGTAGAAATAAAGGAAAAGTTTCCTCCGCAAAGGAGAGGGCTCGGCACGGGGACGGGTGGGGATGCGGCGGCGGCCGCCGGCGCCGGGCGCCCGCAGCGCGCGGGCACCGCTGGAAAGCACCTTGCGCAAGGGGCTCACGAGGTGCGGCTCCGCCCCCTTCCTCCGCCTTCCCGGATCCCGGGGCCGCCGGGTAGTGCCAGGCTGGGCAGCGTGCGGGGACGCGGGGATCCGCGCTGCCTTTTCCAGCCGAGACTCGGTGAGTGCCCCGAGAGGGGGGGTGGTGGTGGTCTGTCCGGAGGACCTGGCTGCTTGCTCTCCGCCCAGATGATGGGTGCGTTTATCTTAGGCAACTGAACCCCCGTTGGGGTTGGGTCCTGGGATCAAGTGGACTGCTAGGGTTGCATGGGGGATAGTCACAGATTTTGATCCAGCAGTGGAAGAAGTTGCTCTTGATGGAAGCAGAGGGAAAAACAAGCTAATAGGTGGACGCACTTGCTTGATACCGCGGAGGGTAGAGTCGTATTTGCCTAGTAGAATAGAATCCAGTTCCAGTTGACGCTCTAACTGCACGGATTGAGATTGTGTGCGGCAAATTCTGACCAACGATCCTTAAGGACTATGGCCTGTAAGAAAACAGCCTAGTAGAGGCATCTAGAAAGTTTGAAACAGTGGCTTTGCTTCTACACTGCCAGAATGCAGCATTCTGGGCCTTTTCAATGATAAAATTCGGTAAGAGATGTGCCCCCATGGCCAATGTACTATTTTGACAAAATAACAATAAAAATTGACCTTTTAAATGAGAACTAACACGAGGTATGCCCTGTTGTGTCAAGCAGAACTATAGGTTTGACTGTGTCTGAACAGTTTTGTGTTTCTAAAATTGACATGTTTCTGTACTGTTAGGAAGTTGAAATTTTTACTGTGAATTGTGTCCAAGCCTATCTTCCTAAAAGTCTTTATTGCTGAGCTGGAATGCCTTCACCATGTACACTTCTAGGTGATACTGATGTTGTCAGTTCATAAACTATTAGCATTTGTCTGCTTAATCAAGGCGGGAAAGTACTGAGGATTTTTGTAGGAGTGTTTAACTGCCTGACCTGTTGTCAAGGTTGCTGGGTCTCACTGGATCTGTGTGACTGAAGCCTTTGATTGCTAAGAAATCAAGCAAAGTCTGAAAAGAGTCTCAGTGACAAATGCTCTTCTACTTCCTACCCTGCCTTCCCTCTGGCTCCACATCCCTCTCTTCTAGTCTTGGGGAGAGTGGGTGTGTCTTACTTCTTCCTGTTACTCACACATGCTTGAGATTTTCTGTAGGATTTAAATGTCAAAGCTGGCCTTTCTGTTGAAGTTCTTTTGAGCTAGGTGAAGTTCAATTGCCTAGACCTTTTGTCTTTCTTTTTCTTGAGTCGTTAGCACTGGGAGCTTCTTTTTCTATCAGATTCTGAGTTTAAGTCAGTCCACAAGCCTTTGGTTTTTTCAGCCACTGGAGGCTATAGACTATTGTTGTTTGAACTTCTGTTTTTCTTAGCTGATTCTAGAAGTAGAAACTGCAACTAAATGGCTCTGTGAAAGCAAAGTGTTGGTCCTTTAACCTAAGAAGTTCCCTTCTTAACGCCACAGATGCCAAGCACTTGAATCACAGTCTCCCACAAACATGCACAAGATATCTGAGAGGGAGCTGTCAAATTTTCTAGATTAAGTATTATGATAAGAACTCATCAAAGTGGTTCAGAAGTTTCTGCCTTTCTTCCTTCCTTTTTTCTTTGTCTCTTAGCTACATCCCACTCAGAGAAAGGAGACCAAGGCAGTACTTGCATAGCCATGGCTGGAACTCAGAAAATGAAAACAGCCACAGATGGCTGTTGATTTACTGTGTAGCTAAGGGGGGATGAGGGGGCTTTGCAAAGAGGTGAGATAATTGCCTAGCAGCATGCAGGCAGTAGCCGGGGACAATGAGATGAGATGTGACTGCAAACAGTCTTGAGACTAGAGGAATATTAGGTTGTAGGATGGAAGACAGACAGCTTGCCTCAGATACAATTTATATATCTGAAAGGGACCCTAGGTACCATTTATATATCTGAAAGTGACCTTCAGGTACCATAATGATAACCTGAATTAATTGGTTCTTTTGTCAAATGAAATACATTTAGCTAGGCAGCAAGTGGCCCCTTACCAGGGTAGAGCACTTCCTGGAGCTTTGAACTGAAACTCCTACATGATGGATGTGCATGGGATTGGCAGAGTGTTGCATGTGTTAATTCTTGTGATTTTTTTTTTTTTTGTTGTTGTTGTTATTTGCTTTGATGATGCTGGGGATGGAACCCAGGGGCTCCTGCATGCTAGAAAAATGCTGTACCTCTGCTGATCTATATGCTTAGCCCAGCTTGTGTTTTTAGGAACCTGAGATATCTTTCAGAGTAGGGCTGGGAACTCAGTGGTTAAATTTAGAGATGCTTTGAAATTCTCTTAGACCTTGTCTTTTCTGCTTTGGAATGGAGTTGAGTTGTGCTGAGATCAGAGGAATGATGTCACCTTTTACCTACTTTACCTTCTTCTTATCTACTGCTTCCTGAATGTGGCACTGGATTGTGCAGAAGAGCCAAAATACAATTTGGGCTAATACAGTCACTTGATCTTAATCTGGGACTTACTTATCATAGTCTTGGCTTTTCTATCAAAACTTACAGTGGTTCATTAGTGTAGATAGTAAGTTGGCTTCTGGGACTTTGATGATCTGGTCTTAGGAGAGGACAACTGAAGCACCGAAGACATTAAGAAAGATTAAGAAATCTCCTTTCCCAGAGCTGCTTTCCCAGTCAGTCTGCTGCCTTCATTTCTTTTTGGAAGTGTATGTGTGTGTGTGGGTGTGTGGGGGGAACTGTTTAATTCATTTGCATCAGAATGGATTGAAACTTGACCTCATATTCTTAGATTTGCTGAGATTAAAATCCATTTGAAGTTGGATGCTGGTTGCTCATGCCTGTAATCATAGCTATTTTGGAGGCTGAGATCTGGTGATCACAGTGGAAGCCATCCAGGGTAGGAAAGGTCTGTGAAACTCTCATCTTCAGTAAAACTACTCAGAAAAAGCCAGAAGTGGCACTGTGGCTCACGTGGTAGAGTGCTAGCCCTGAGTACAAAGAGGCTCAGGGACAGTACCCAGGCTCTTGAGTTCAAGCCCCAGGACTGGCAGACAAACAAACAAACAAACAAAAACCATTTAAAATATATTGCTAGGCTGATATACTCTTTCTCCTGTCTGTCTTCTCTCTCCTGTCCTCTCTCTCTTTCTGGTTTTAATTTTATTTTCTTACTTCCTGAATTTAGTCCGGTGATTCTTTCTTTTTAAAGTCACCTGAGGCACAAAAGCCATAATGATTTGTGCCAGGGTGTGACTTTGGGAAGCACCTAAAGTATATTAGATTGGAAGTTGGGAAGAGCTGGGCTGCTCTTCAGGGTGTTTATGTTTAGTGAAAGTTTGTTTGTAGTAGCTCCCTCTGAGCTGATGCCACAGTGAGCAAGCTCTCAGATTTCCCCCAGCCAAGGGAGCCAGGGCTAAAGATTATCTAACGTCCCTTTCAAATGGATACTGCTCTCCACTTGAATTTACAACTGCTGTTGACAAGGAGATACCATTTTATAAACAAAAGAATAGGGGAGCCTGTTCCCAACCTTTTCATGGCCTACTGGTGTCTGATGCAAATACATATTTAGTAAACTAAGTGTATCTTCTTTTTGTAGACTCTCCAGGAAACGCCACAGTGATGGAGTACATGAGCACTGGAAGTGACAATAAGGAAGAAATTGATTTATTAATCGAACATTTAAATGTGTCCGATGTAGTAGACATCATGGAAAATCTCTACACAAGTGAAGAGCCCGCGGTTTATGAGCCTAGTCTGATGACCATGTGTCCGGACAGGAATGAAAATGAGGAGCGTTCAGAATCTGTCTTGCTCAGTGGCCAAGAAGGGCCTTGGTTGTCATCTGTCAGATATGGAACTGTGGAGGATTTACTGGCTTTTGCAAACCATATATCCAATACCTCAAAGCGTTTCTGTAGACACCGACCACAAGAATCTGGAATTTTATTAAATATGGTATGTGTTTTTGTTCTGATCAGCTGAATGCTGCCTGTTCAGGCATTTGAACATGGTTTAGGCTGGCTTTTAGGCCTGCTTCTAAAATGTGTAATTTTTGCTAAGAATCACTTCTGTGTTTAAAATGCCAAAAATCTTCATGAAAAATTCCATTCAAAGACTCTTGATCATAATTTAGCTTTAGTTCTGCAAATAACTAATTAAGAGTGTGAGGTAAGCACCCTACATATACCTCTAGCCCTTAAAAATGAATTTTAATTGGCTGGGCACTGGTGGCGCATGCCTGTAACCTTAGCTACTCAGGAGGCTGAGATCTGAGGATTGAGGTTCAAAGCCAGCCCAGACAGGAAAGTCCGTGAGAGTCTTATCTCTAGTTAACCACCAGAAAACCAGAAGTGGTGCTGTGGTTCAAGTGGTAGAGTGCTTGCTTTGAGCTGAAGAGCTCAGGGACAGTGCTCAAGCCCCACGATTGACGACGACAACAACAAAAAGAATGAATTTTAATTAGATGAATATATGTTATATTACAATATAATTATATAGAACCATGAAATGTTTTATAAGATTATATTATTTGTAAGATTATATTATATATTGTTGATATAAAATACATTAGTATATATTATTGAAGATCTATTTTTCACCAGTCCTGGGGCTTGAACTCAGGGCCTAGATGCTGTCCCTTAGCATTTCACTTAAGGATGGCATTCTACCACTTGAACCACAGCTCTACTTCTGGCTATTGGTGATTAATTGGAGATAAGTGTCTTATGGGCTTTCCTGCCTGAGCTGCCTTCAAACCTCTAGCCTCATATTTCAGCCTTTTGAATAGCTAAAATTACAGGTTTGAGCCACTGGCACCCAGCATATTTTTATAGAAAAGAAAAGCTTAATATGAATCCTTTAAAGGAGAAAGGAATAAACACTGTATCTTAAAAGTCTGGATTATTTGTTCCTTCTTTCTTCAGAAATATAATAACAATATTGACTGAATTTAATCCTTGAAGAAATGTTGTTTGTAGGTGGTTAAATAGCTAATCCTCAGGTTGACTCTTTAATTGGCTTTGAGTGCCACATGATGTAATTACTTAGTCATTCCAAGTATGCAGATTAATCCAAAACACTGGGTTGCTACCGTAGTCAATGGGGTGGTGTGTTTAGGTATGCCAGACCCTCCCCTTTAATATGTCAGAGGTGAACACAGGTGCTAGCTAAAGGTGATCTAATTTCATAAAAAGAACTGTTGGCAAAGGAGTAGGTGGTGATTTGTAAAGCGTGCTTGTTGATGAAAGTGATTCTTGGCTTTGGTGTGTCCAAATGGCAGAATGGCCCTTGCTAGGGAGTCCTTGCTAAATGAACCGAGTACTTTAATTATTTTGTTGTGTTGCATTCCACATTCATTTAATGAAAAACAACACAGTAATTTAGGCCAGCTATCTCTTGAGCTGTTTTGTTAGAAGGCAACTGTGTATGGCTCACTGTGGAGCAAGATGGCACTTTGCATTATTGTTGTATGGCTTCCATTGGTCGGATTCTACAACTGCATCTAGTGGTTTGCCTTCAGAATAGTACTTCCTTTTACTAGTGGGAAGTAATGGTTTGTGCTTAGAGCTGTACCTGATTTTTTTTTTTTCTTTTTAGCTGAAGAAGAGCTAAATAGGGCTGGAATGAGGCTCAGTGGTAGAGAGCATGCTTAGTCGGGGCAAGACCCTGAGCTTTAACCTCCATCACTGAAATAGGCCAAATATTGCTGGAGGACTGTGGTTCAAAGTAATGTACCCATGTACAATGACAGAATTTTCTTGTATTTCCTTTATGTATTTGTTGAATGAAAACATTTAGAATAAACAAATTATCTTTGCCAAACATCCCGGGTTGTATAAATGAGCAAATTGTGTATGAGAAAGAAAATTTAATAATTGGAAACACCACAAAGGCAGGAATCTTGAAAACTTTAAATAATAAGTAAATACACACATTATTCTAGAAATGATGAGGGGCTGGGTGTGATGGAGCATGCCTGTAATCTCAGCTACTGGGGAGGTAGGGTTAGGAAGATTGTGGTTTAAGGCCAGCCAGGTTAAAGTTAGTAAGAAACCCTATGTGAAAAACAAACCACTAAGCAAAAGGGTTGGGTGTGAGGTTCAAGTGGGAAAGTACTTGCCTAGCATGCACTGTGCCCCAAGTTTAGTCGCCAGTACTGCAAAAAAGAAGCAGAAGGAGAAAGAAGATGATCAGTTAAAAATAGTAAAATATAAAGCAAGAAGATTGAACAACAGAATGGATTAAGAGGAGGATTTTATCATGTGTATATAATGGTTAACTTTCCTGCCTCTGACATTAAATATGGCCTACATCCTTGTGATAGGTGATCCATAGCTCTGTGTTTCATCAATAATGTCCTATGCACTGATACTTGTCATCTCTGACCCTACCCATTCTAGGACGAGATGGTAACAGGGCTTGCTTTTCATTTCCTGTCCTCTTCTGTGGACCCATTCTTTGGTCAAGATCATGTTATCTTCCTCCTCCTGTCTCCCTGTCTAACCTTTTTCCCTTCTTGCTGTCATTTGCTGTTCCCTTTCCTGCTTTATTAGAGAATCACCCACCATCTAGATTGGTTCCAAGGTAAAAGCTATCTGTAAAGTATACCTACATAGAGATGGAAAACTTCCATTCAAACAGTCATCATTCAGCTGCTAGACATGGTTGGCACTCTCACAGTAAGGGTTTTAGGTGTTAGGAAAGGGAGTTTGGAATGGTCTGTGCTGCAGGGAGCTCACTGTGTGGTGCATGCCAGAGACAAGTGAACAAGCAGTTTTCACACAGTGTGCTCCATCTCAGTACAGCTACACCCTGATTGTTCTGGGAAAGCTTGGGCAAGATGTCTCCCATGGCCCTGAGTATGGGAAGGGGTATGGGAGAAAGTTAGCATGGGAACAGGCTTCCAGGAACAATTGGTACCTAAGCCAAGGTCTGAAGTATTCAGTCAGCTAGACGAAGTGGAGAGTGTCTCAGATGGAGAGAACAGCATATGCAAGGGCCTGGGGGCATTAGAGATCTGGTGTTTTTAAACAGCCAACAACCACAGTGCTGCAGAGTTAATTAGTCAGGGTGGAGAACCAGGAATTGTAAAAATATCCCAAAGAGCAGAGGCATATTGAATGGTACTCTGTGTGTGTGTGTGAGCGCACGGCACACGTGCGTCTGGGCATGTGCTATTTTCCTAATATAATATTTGTTAACGATTCCACTGACATCCAGAAAGACCCAGGGAAGGAACGTCGGGAGACTAACCTAGGAATTGCTGTGTGTTACAGCACAAAGTTATTTTTAAATGATTGTTTCATAATCTGTCCTGGAGATGAATAATCCAAGATGTGTTTCAGAGTTAAAGGACCCCAAAGGACTCATAGAAACTGGTATGAGATGCTGAGTGATGTTCCTTGGGGTTCAGTCATAGAGTCAAGGATTCTCAGGGTTGGAGACCTTTGAAAATACTTCAGTCCAGTCCTCTGTCTGATGTTTGGATAACTCAACTAATCATCTCTTAGAATGGGTAGAACATTTTTGAAGAGATCATTCCATACTGGGTCATTCAGTCATATTTGTTGAATTCTGTTGAGAAACTTCTTCTTTATATAGGACTAAAATCAATCTCTGACTTCCTCCTTGCTGTTCTACCTAGTCCTACTCTTAGGCTGGAAACAAAAAGTCTATAATGGTGAGTAATAGTAAGGAAGGCTGTGACCTCTTCATTAAAGTGCCTGGGTATGTAACTTGCCTCTGATTGACATATAGGGCTAGTTATTTCATCCCTTCATGTCTTAGTTTACCTACCAGTAAACATTATAGCACTTACCTCCTTAGGCTGCTGTTTGATACAGAGAGCAAGTCCATGTGACCTACTGGTATACAAGGAATATTCAATGAATGCAGACTCTTGTGGTGGTAATATACAGTTGTTGTTTTTTTCCCTACAACAGTCCTTTCAGTATTTTAAAACCTGCATGGTCTTCAGATCTCTCTTCTTCCATATCACTTCTAAGTTTGTCTGCTACTACTTACACATAGCAGTGCCATTTCAACTCAGGCCTCTGCCATCAGTCTGTTACAGCACCCTGTAAGACTTGAAAATGAGGTCCATTAGTTGCATAGTAGGGTTGAGCTCTGTTTGCCTTTGTTCTAGACAAATGGCCTTGAATATAGCCCAGCATCACATCTGTTTCACACCAGTGGTATCCTGTATCCAGGATAGTTTAGTATAGCTGGCAGACACCTGGGTGAGGAAGACTGCTTACAGGCCTGCACGTAAGAGGCCTTTGGTTAAGTTGAAGCATTAGCAGAGATAAATAGCATGGAGTGCTGTCTGATTGCTTGGTGGAGCCACTAGAAAGGACATTTAAAAGGAAACAGATCCACCTGGGGAAGGTTGAAGTCTAGAGAAAGAACCAGGAGCTCTGCAGAGCTATACTCTGTTGGGACTCACACAGCACCAGGTGAGTTCAGAGCCTGTCATCAGGGTAGTGGTGGGAAACACAGGGTGCATGTAGCAGGATCCCTAGACACAAGGTATAAACTGGGGGCAAAGTGACTGGCAGGGGACAAGGCTCAGGTGTGCTCACTGCCCTGTAAATGCAAGCTTGTAATAACGAGGTTTTCATCATAGCTCAAACTGATTATAGCCTGTGGAGCACCATAGGCTCTTATGCAAAGACTGAAAACTAGTCTTTGGTGTTTAACAGACCTGAGTTCAAATCCTGTCTCTGGTACTGACTAGTGTGAGTTGCTTAACCTTTTGAAGTTGGTTTCCTCATCTATGAAGTGGAGATTAAAATAGTCCTTACCTCAGAGGATGGTCACAGACTTTGATGAGCTAAAAGTCTGAGTACAAGGTTTGGTTTCTTAAGTATCTCTTGTTATGTGACTATTAATATCTTCCATCCTCTTGGGGCAGAACTAGAGGGCAAAAATGAGTTATAGAAGATTTAGTTTGGACAGAAGTAAAACGTGGATCAAGGTGAGTTTAGACCCAGGCTGCAGTGAAATTAGATCTGTTTATACATAACAATAGGAGCCACCAGTGAGCGCAAAGTGAATGGTTCTGTCTGAATGAGGAAGGAACTACATTCTGGAATCCTCAGGACGCTGCAGAAAGAGGGCTCTAGCACTGGAGGTGACAGCTGTGGAGTGATGGTGTTCCACACATCTGTACCCTTTCTGTACTTACCTGTATCCCCTCTCGGGCCCTCTACAGGGTCCCACACAGCAGAAGCACTCAGGAAATATTTCAACTTAATGACTTGGCATTTCTAAACATTAATACTTATTCTCTGCTTCATTCACTGACTAATGGCTCATGTTTATGGGGTGTGTGGCTAAAATTAGCAATAATGCAGGCTGAGTGAATAACCCTTCCAGTTACTGGGACTATGCCATTAATGGCCAGGGAGAAATCCTAGGAATCTGTAGCTGAATCAGGTGTTCATTCTTCTCCCCTGGGGTGGATTTGGGGTTTTCCACACTCCCCTTGGGCTGCTTCTATGCTTGAAATAGCTTAATGACTTGTCAGAATTTCATAATTCTTGAATTCATAATCTGAAGCCATAATACTGCTCATTATATTTAGAGAGAAAACTGATACCTTGGGAGACTAGTTATTCCTTGACAGTTTTTAAAGGACTATGTTCCAGGTTATATTCCCCATGAACCATCAGATTCATTTGTTTTTCTTTTAAGTATGATTTTTTTTTAAAATTTAAAACTTGAGTTCTACTATGTGTATGTGTGGGGTGGGATTCATGTGCATGTGTATGCCCTGATACTAGGATTTAAACTCAGGGCCTGGGTGCTGCTGTCTCTTAGTTTATTTGCTCAATGCTAACATTCTACCATTTGAGCCACAGCTCCACTTCTGGCTTTTGGGTGGTTAATTGGAGATAAGAGTCTCACAGACTTTGCTACCCAGGCTGTCTTTGAACCTCGATCCTCAAATCTCAGCTGCCTGAGGAGCTTGGATTACAAGTGTGAGCCGCCTGTGTCTGGCTTGAGTTCTACTTTCTCTGCTGTAAAATATGTAAATCTTAAGTGTCTAATCTGATGATCTTTACCAAGTACACACATTTTTATAGTATACATTGCTATCAGGATACAACTTGTCATGTTTTAGTTGACTAGTTTAATTTTATTTGTTTCATTTTTTTTCTCTGAGTTGACTTCTGTTTTTGCTGTTGTTTTTTGTTTTTCCTCCTGTGCAGAGAATCAGACCCATCCATCTAGCACCCAATTACATCCAAGCCCCAAGTTCATCATTTCTTTTATTTATTTATTTATTTTTTTGCGTCCGGTCGTGGAGCCTGAACTCTGGGCCTGGGCGCTGTCCCTCAGCTCTTCAGCTCAAGGATAGCGCTCTACCACTTGAGCCACAGTGCCACTTCCGGCTTTTTTCTTTTTCCTTATGTGGTGCTGAGGAATCAAACCCAGGGCCTCAGGCATGCAAGGCAAGCGCTCTACCACTGAGCCACCTTCCCAGCCCCAAGTTCATCATTTCTGAAAGCTTTAGTTCTAAGTATCTGCTTCCCCACAAACCTCTCAGGTGTCAGAGACCCTGGTTCTTTCTTGTTCATGGCTGCATACTCAGCACCAAACCCAGTGCCAGGCATGCATTAGGCACATAGGAAATATCACATGAGTAAGTCAAAGATAAATAAATAATTCTGCTCTTTGTTTATGTAGCATTGCCAACTCATGGTGGTAGCATCTCACATTGTTTTCCATAATCCTCTGCGGTTCTCAGTGAGTTTCCATGCTCTCTGACCTGTTTGTGCTTTGTGTGTGAGTAAGGGCCATGCAGACAAACAGGTTAGCGCATCTTAATAGAAGCAAGTCAACCTGCCTGTGCAGTTGCAACCTTTGTTTTCAGTCTTTGAATCACGCTAGTCATTCTCCTTAAGTACATACTCACGTTCTATTTGGCAATTAATTACTCATGAGTACTGGGAAATAAGACCAGGTCCAACCAGAGATCTGTGTCTGTTACATGCTTTCTCTGTCTTAATCAAGTCTAAATATAGTCTGTAGAGTGTCAGAATTAGACATAGGGCTATTAATTTTAAGTGCTGTGTGTCAAGAGGCTTCTGAAATAACCTGCTTCTGTTGAGTGGGCCTTAGAAAAGGAAAACTTTGTGGACAGTCTCATCGTCCTGTCTTTGTATTTTCTCATAGGTGATCACTCCCCAGAATGGACGCTACCAAATAGACTCTGATGTTCTCCTCATCCCGTGGAAGCTGACTTACAGGAACATTGGTTCTGATTTCATTCCTCGGGGAGCCTTTGGGAAAGTGTACTTAGCCCAAGACATAAAGACTAAGAAAAGAATGGCGTGTAAACTGGTATGTGTATTCATACTGCTTGTGTGACTTTCTGGCTTTCATTCACATTGACCAAGGCTGTGTTCCTTAGACTGAATCTTACCACACTTTCCTACATCAAGACATTGGATTGTTGTCTTCTGGATTTGGTGGCTACCTGGGGCCTTTTGGCTCCTACATCTCTGCTTAGAAGCCAAGTTATTTAATGTATTTATCTAGGTTCTGGGGCTTGAACTCAGGACCTGGGCTCTGGCCCTTAGTCTTTTCACTGAAGTTTAGTGCTCTACCACTTGAGCCACAGCTTCACTCTGGCTTTTTGGTGGTCAATTGGATATAAGAGTCTCTTGAACTTTCTTGCCCCACCTGGCTTCAAACTCGTATCCTGATATCACAGCCCCCCTCTCTTTCTCTCTCTCTCTCTCTCTCTCTCTTTCTCTCTCTCTCTCTCTTTCTCTCTCTCTCTCTCTTGTCAGTTTTGGGGGCCTGAACTCAGGGCCTGGGCACTGTCCCTCAGCTCTTCAGCTCAAGGCTAGCACTCTACCACTTGAGCCACAGCGCCACTTCCAGCTTTTTCTGCTTATGTGGTCCTGAGGAATTGAACCCCAGGGCCGCATGCATGCATGCACTCTACCACTGAGCCACCTTCCCATCCCCCTATCACAGCCTTTTGAGTAGCTAGAATTACAGGCATGAGCCACTGGCACTCAGCTAGGAATGCATTGGTGTCTATAACAGCTTGGATGACATCTTCACTCAGAGAGGAGTTCTGCAATGGAAGAGTAAAACTGTGTGCTTTTGTCTTGTCTGCTAGATAGGGGATCAGCTGAGAAGCAGAGATTTTAAAAACTACAGATTTAAAGGGCTGAATATACCTATTACTGAGAAGACTGGACCACTTCTCACTATACATAAACCAGAGTGCTGCCATTTTGGAAAACCACTCTGCAGAATCTCCCTACTTTGAGCATGCACAGAGCGTGCAAGCTGAGTGTGCCCACATCATGTGACCCAGTAATTGCCCTCCGTCGCTCCACCCAACAGAGACATGTTCATATGATCATCAGGCTCTCCTATATTTCTATTAGCACTCTTTGAGGAATCTCAAACTCAGAAACTCCCAGATACTGAGCAGTAGAATATTTGCATTCTGAAATACTGGACAACAAAGCAAATCAGTGATACAGCTGTATTAGTGTGGATGCATTTCACAACCATTTTGTTCATCTAAAACAGCCAACACAAAATAAGATCTCTTGTAGGAATTGGGTGCTAGTAGCTCACATCTATAATCTCAGCTCTCCTGGAGACTAAGATCTGAGGACTTGGGTTTGAAGACAAACCAGGCAGAAGAATATTTGAAATTCCATGTCCAATTAATTAACAAAAAGCTGAGCTAGAAGTGTGGCTCAAGTGGTAGAATGTGAACTAGGAGCAAGCAAGTTGAGTGAGAGCCAGAGTTCCTGAGTTCAAGCCTTGGAATCATCTCCCCCTTCCCCAAATATGTAGAATATTTCATGTACATAAAGGAAAGAGATAAGCTAGGTGTTGAGATAGTGGAGAGCAGTGACTGTCAGGAATCAAAGAGGGATTTATAGGATACTAATAGAGTTCTATATTTTTATTTGGATAAGGACTGTGTTCAGTTGAAAACTCATTGAGGGCTGGGAGGGTGTCTCAATGGTAGAATGCTTACCTTGCATGCATGAGGCCCTAGGTTCGATTCCTCAGCACCACCTAAGCAGAAAAAGCCAGAAGTGATGCTATGACTCAAGTGGTAGAACACTAGCCTTGAGCTGAATTGTTGAGAGACAGCGCCCAGACCCAGAGTTCAGGGCCCATGACTGACAAAAACAAAAAAGAAAAAAAGAAAACTGATTGAGTTCAATAGTTGCCATTTGTACAATTTTAATGTATGTTTGTTTTACTTTAATAAGAGTAAAGTAAATTAATTACTTTAATTAAAAATTAAAACATACTTTTTCCCATGGTGCTGAGAATAGTACCTAGGGCCTCATTCATCCACACAGGGCTCTATCACTAGTCATCTTCATATTCCTAGTACCAACATATCCTTTTGATTTAACAAAAACTAAAATAAGATATAGATACTATATTTCCATCTTATCACAATGAAAGGAACACCAAGGGGTAATGTACACCATTTCCTCAGCTATAAGGGAAGCAGAGATTAGGAGAATCTTAGTCGAGGTTATCCAGGTAAAACTTTAAAGCCCTGTTGAAAAATACTTAGAGCAAAAAGGCTTAAGGTCATGGTATAGCACCTGCCTGAGTTCTTGAGTTCAAATCCTATCCTATAAAAACATAAACAAAAACAAACTTACAATAAGGCTGTTGAAACTTACATGCTCAAACATGTAAAAAAAACTTGAAGGCACTCTTAGAACCATATTGCCTGGTTTTCAATTTTACCCCCTCCCCAACCCCCCCTCCAAAAAAAAGCATGGGGAATGGCTTTGTGGATTTGTTTTTCCCACAGCACTTATATTTAATATTTCAGGCACATTTTGTTGTCTTAAGAAATAAAAACATATAGATAATGAAAACCCCCCAAATCTCACAAGTATGTAGGCTAATGAACAAAATCCTTTCCTTATTATATCTTTCAGAAAATTTCCGTGCATATACATGTGTGTACTTTAAAACTTTTTTTTTTTTTAACAAATGAGCATGTATAATCTGAACCTCTGAATGTTGCTTTATTTTAACTTAGCACTATATTTTGGAGACATTTCCAAATCCTTATGCAATGAAAGAGCTACTTGTTCCTTATTAATAACTAATTTTCCGTGGAAGGATGGCGAGTGCTTATTTTAAATGCGTAACTGAAGTGAACTGTATGACCAAAGCCTTTATATTATCTCAAACACATATTGAAAAATAGCAATCTAAAGCCTAAGTTCCATAGAATTTATGTGAATCAGAAATGGGAGATTTTCTCTCCTTTTGATCTATTTGCAATTTTCAAATCTTGGTTGAATTTCTGTACCCTAAATGAAAATAGTACTTCATTGTTTTGTAATGTTCCTGTTTTGAATTTTATACCTAAAGCTGAGGCTGATCTGAGGTAAATATTATAACATTTGAAGTAGTTCAAAGTCTCCTTGGAGGGTGTCTATTTGCCTTCTGGTTTATAGATTCACCAATCTTCTGTATTTTTCCTCTCTCCACTTTTCCTGAGATCAAGAATCTTGCTTTTGTGTTCTAGATCCCTGTAGATCAGTTTAAGCCATCTGATGTGGAAATCCAGGCTTGCTTCAGACATGAGAACATTGCTGAGTTGTATGGTGCTGTCCTGTGGGGCGACACTGTCCATCTCTTTATGGAAGCTGGAGAGGGAGGATCTGTCCTAGAGAAGCTGGAGAGCTGTGGACCCATGAGAGAATTTGAAATTATTTGGGTGGCAAAGCATGTTCTCAAAGGACTTGATTTTCTGCACTCCAAGAAAGTGATTCATCATGATATTAAACGTAAGTATCTAGGGGTTGTATACCACTTGGGTTTAAAGAGCCATATTATCAGGGGGTGGGGTGGGGCACATGGACTCTTCCTTCAACCTGAAGACCTCAGTAGAAGGTAAGACAGCTAGCTCTTTTGGAACTCAATTCACCTTGCTCCTTTATGGTGCTGAGACAAGTCTGAGGGCCAAGCTAGGCTGTTAGAGCTCTCCAAGTCAGAGGTAGTGCAGACTCGAGCACATGTCTATTAAGTCCACTGCCTGTGCCCTTAGGATCAAAGGCTTCCAAAACAGTAATTTAGAGTCAGGAGTGTGACTCCGTGGAAATACAGTTATTTAACATGTATAAGGCCTACGTTCCATCCCCAGCATCTTAAAATACACACACACACACACACACACACACACACGTGTGTGCGCACACACACACAATTAAAAAGGTAATTTGCTTAACATGTACAGTGTATGGTCATTTGGTTTTATTTTCTTTTGCTTTTGGTGCTAGTCCTGGGGCTTGAATTCAGGGACTCTAATTCTTGCTTGGCTTTTTTGCTCACCATTTGAACCCCCAACTCCACTTTCAGCTTTTTGGTGGTTAATGGGAGGTAAGAGTGGTTAATTGGAGATGGGAGTCTCACGGATTTTTCTTCCCAGGCTGGCTTCGAATCATGCTTTTCAAATGTCAGCTTCCTGAGGGGCTAGGATTACAGTCATGCCACTGACACCCAGCTACAGTCATACACTTTTGAGGAACAAGTAGCTTTTTAAGTTTGAAGGTTACTTTGGCAGTAATCCATTAAATAAGCCCTTTCTGACTGTCTCCTAGAATGAAGACTTGATTCAATATCCAGCACTAAATTGAACTAGCCCAACTTTTGATGGGAAAGAAATAGGTGTTTTAGTTTGTTTTAGAGAGGTACTTGTTACCTTATGTGTGCATGCTTATATGTGTCTTCAAATTTGAAGCCGCAGCTCTTGAGCACTGTTACTGTCTTCTATCATTTATGTTTGCCTTGGCAGATTCTTGCCAATGGCAAGATGCATCTCTTTTGGAAATAGCACACCCATTGCACTGGGGATGTATTTCCCTCTGTTCTGACTTGGGACTCATTATTGTTTTCATTGATGATTTCATTTTATGTGTGGGTATATAAATAATCATATGCTAACAATTTCTCCTTGCAGCTAGCAACATTGTTTTCATGTCTACCAAAGCTGTTTTGGTGGATTTTGGCCTAAGTGTTCAAATGACTGGAGATATCTATTTTCCCAAGGACCTCCGAGGAACAGAGGTAATTATGTTCATGGGAAATGTTAGCGTCGTTTTGAGAGTGAAAAAAGTATGTTCTAGAATTGCTGTGGGGAAGAAGGACAAAGAAAGGGAGGGAAAGTATTGCATTGAGTCATTGCTGTCATTAGAAGAAATTTAATGAGCACTTGCTGGATGTGCTATTGTTTCTAATTCATGGTAGTAGTTATAATGTAAAATGTTCCATTATCAACATTTAGAAACAATCTGATGTTAATATACATGTCCTGATTGGAAAGCTAGATGAGGCAAATATTCCAAAATACTTTGAGCTCCTAAAGCTGACGTACTTCCTTTTGGCTCCAGACATTTTCAAATAAAGGATACTCAACTTGCATTTTCACAATTCAGCTTTTCAAACAACCACAGAATTATAATTTAACTTTATAGTAGTGAGTTTTACACTTCTTATGAGTTAAATTATTTAATCCTCCTAACAGCTGTGTAATTAGTGAATGCTGTCATTAGAGCAGATATCATTGTTATTGTTCTTTTTTTTACATTAATCAAATAAGCTTGAAGAGATGAAAGCAAAATGTCTGAAGTTACTCAAGTATGGGCACATCTCAGACTTGAACCCTATAATTTCCAAATCTAAAGTTTGAATGCTATGTAACTTTTTAACATGGCTAATATACTATTAAAATATTACTTGGCTGATACTATGAAGTTTTAGTTCAATTAAAGCTATCATCAATGTGGTCTCCTGGTCAACCATATTTACTGAGGACTGACCACTGAGTCCTGTCTTCATCCAGAGATGCTATAATAAAATTACATTAAAACCATTTTTAAAAGCTATAAAACAGTCATGAGCACAAGCACAGTTTATCTGAAGGTGTTAAATAGCTGTAACATTTAACGCATGTGTGAATGAATGGTAAAGAAAAAAAAAACCATTCCTGAATCTAAATGAGCTTCTGGGAAATGCTTTCATGGGCTCTCCAGTTACATATGTAATTTAATAGGCTCAGTATCAGGCTGAATTATTGATTTACTTAGCAAATATCTATTGAGCATCTGCCTTGAGATAAGCTGGTGTGAGTGCCAGGGAGCTTTTCTGAGGCTGATAGGACTTTACGGGTCCCCACTGTTTGATGAGAAGATCTATTTAACTTAACTAATATTTTAGAAAGCTATTCTATGAAATGAAATCTAGGAAATAAAATCTTCAGAACTAAACATACTGATGTGAATGTCACATGGTATTTCAGTACAATTCATGCATATTGTGTAATCAGGTTAAACCTGTCTTCTCCAACACATCTCACTTCTTTATGGTGACAATTCAAACTTCTTTTTTCTAGCTTTTGTGAGATATACAGTATAGAACATACCAGACCTTCTTACTCCCTACATAACTGCAACTTGGAGCCCATTGATCAGCCTGTCCCCAGCCCTTCCCCAAGCTGGCTTCTAAATTGACCTGAATTGTTGAGAGATCAACAAGGAAGTTGAGATCTTAGTAGGCTTTGATGTGGCTGAGGATAAGTGGCCTCTCTGGCTGCTCTCCACCAACACTATACCACCATAGCCTCCCAGGCCCCATGGCCTTCTCTCCCCTGGAGGTACCCAAAGGGAATGGAGAAGGGGCTTCTGGTTGCATGGCAGATTCAGGGTCACCTCGTTAGTCTTGGAGTCCAACCAGTGAATGACCTTTAGTAGCTAGTATATATGTAATACTCACTGAATTGCAGTGAAAAAAAATTCAAGATCTTCCTTTCAAGCTTGATTCTGGAAGCCTTTTCTTAACTTCTGAGTGGCAGATGGGATTCTTGTGTGACTGATTTTTCTGACATCATTCCTGAGACCTACCTGGAGAAGACTCTTGATTGTCATCTTTGAGATATTCTGAAGAGAAAACGCAGACATTTTCTTTTTTAAAGAGTTGTTTTGTCCCCAGACCTTAAGAATCCTTTGCCAAAATACAAAATCTAATCAGACTTTATGCTTATGGTATGTTTTCTTTGGAAACTGTCTCGGTACATTTTGGCATCAATCAGGAATTTAGTGTGGCATTCCAGCCTTTTCCTGGAGCCAGTGTAAGAAATAAACTACATATGGAAAGATGGAAAGTACCTTTTGATTCCTGGCAGTGTGGTCAAATTGAATATTTTGTAAATGCCAGAGAAATACATGTTCCTTTCTGGGATTCTCTACCAGGATTCTTGGATGTAGAATAATAGCATATTTCATGTCTGAATTGTATTCAGTTCAGGTATTATAGCTGAAGTACTAATATCAAGAACTCTTTGCATGAAGGGAAGAGCTGGCTTTGGTGTTTATAAACTCTGTCCATCATCTTGCATTTGCTCTTGGAAGTTGGATGTGAAGCATGGTAATGGTTATAAAGACCCAATCAAAGCTCTCAACATGCTGAAAGAGCAAATAAGATAGAATTAGCCAGTCAACAACACAGATTTGCTTTCCATCAGAACTTGATACTTGGCTATTGTTGTAGCCCAAGTCTGTTTCTGAGCTCTGACATATAGCTTACAAATACTGATCACTGAAAATCAATCTATATCACTCTCTCTATTCATGTTTAAAACAATATATTGTAACCATGCATATCAAGCGGTTAACATGATATGTTTATTTACTTACATTGTGACATGGTGCAGAGAAAGAATAAATAGTGCATATAAATAACAAATGAGAATTGCTTCTGTAGTGTGGTCTTTTGAAAAAATTCTTACTTTCAAGTCTGGTTTTACCATCTGTAAATTAACATATAATATCACATATACATGTATACACAGACATTACCTTTTCCTGGGAAATGTGTAGTGAGATGAAGTCTTCTTGTCCCAGTGCCCATGTCTGAGGGGATGAATATTCTACCAGATTCTATCAGTGCCTATCCATGCCTCTAGGTAGCCAGCTTGAAGGGGGTTTAGTCATCAAGCCCCACATTCTCTGGCCTGGCTGTTATGGCGCTTGGTCAGCTTGAGGAAGCAGGAGTTCTGGGCTGAATGCCTGAGGGCCAGCGTACGGGACACCAGGCCGGATCCCAGTGGATGGGTCACCAGGCTGGATCCCAGTGGCAGTCTAGATGTGAGTCACATGGAACCTTCAAAGCCACCTGTGCACAGCTACAGCCCATTAGACTTAATCCTTTTTGCTCAATCCTTGCCCTCTAGGGGTGGGCAGGAAGAACTAAGCATTCTCTAGCATACACACACATAGACTTTTCTCTCCCTCCCTCTCCCCACCACTCCTGTCCTTGTTCTCTTTTATATGATTGGCTGTAAGAGCAGTTAATATGCGGTCCACTCTTCTGGCAAATTTTTAAGTATTTAACACATTGCTGTTGACCATGGGGTACAAAGCTCTAAGTTTATTTACTGTTTTAACCATGTGACTCTATGTATTAAGAAAGACCTCAGGATTCAGGTGCTGTGTCTTGGCTCCAGGCAGAGTTTGTGAACACAGCTCAGTTCAGCTGTGGGCTGAGAGCCAAAGGAGGCCTGCCCGGAAGTGAGTTTTAAAAGAACTTGAGCAGGCTTAGGGTGGGGAAACTGGGCAATTTCCCCAGTTTTTTGTCAGCTACTTCTTTACTAATTTACTCAGAAATGTATTCCGGGAACCCTACCGCCTTTCCTCATAGTCACATGACCACCTGTAAACTTTTTTTTTTTTTTAAAGTTGAATTAAGCTTGAGAAACCTTTATCTGAAAAGCTTGGGGTCAGAAGTGTTTCAGATTTTGGAATACTTGCTTGTGTATAACGAGCAAGATCTTGGGAAGGGAACCCAAGTCTCAAGCACAAAATTAACTTGTGCTCTGTGTACTGTATATAGAGCCTTGAAGATTGTTTTAGATGGTATTTTTAGTGCACTAGCATTTTTACTGTGACCTGCGACATGATGAAGTTCAAGTATGGAAGTTTCCCCTTGTGCCAACTTGCTCAGAAAGCTTCAGATTTGGGAGCATTCTAGATTTGGTATCTTTAGACTAGAAATGTTCAACCTATACAGTTAATTAGGATATTAACTATTCAGTGTTGGGGCCAGCCATAAAACACAGGTTGTTGGTCACTATAGTTTGTTCTTTATCTTTTTCTTTCTTTCTTTTTGATACTGATCCAGCAGCTTGAACTCAGGGCTTGGACTCTGTTCCTTAGTTTTTTTTGGATTTTTGTTGTTGTTGTTTTGTTTAGTTTGTTTTGTTTTCCTGAAGGCTATCATTCTACCACTTGAGCCATAGCTCTACTTCTGGCTTTTTTGGTAGTTAACTGGAGATAAGGGTCTCAGGGACTTTCCTCCCTGGTCTGGCTTTGAGCCATCTCAGCTTCCTGAGAATTACGGGCACTGGCCCTATCTTTTTAGTTTAGCAATTAATACTTCTTAGAGAAACTATTCATAAAAAATAATCAATGCTTATTCATCCTTGACACATGAAACCAGATATAACATACCACTGTTAAGATGGCGAGTGTTCACTACTTAATCCCTGTACTACATGATAGGTAGAGATAAGAGGGAATTCACAGAAACAGGTTAGGACCACTTTTGCAGCATTTGTCAAGTTCTTCCCTTCTGAGCAATTGATGTTAATACCCTGCAGGATCTGGCCACCTTTGGCACTGGAGCTAAATAGAGATTTGACAATGAGATGATGGGGAGATGAAGAAGTATAGTCAGTCACAGTGTCCTTTAAATAGTAAAGGAGTTAATGTTTTAATTGAAAGATGAACTATACATGATCAATATTTGCAGCACTTGTGGGCATCCCAGGTGAGTTCCTGGCCCAAGGTACTTGGCCATGCTGCTAGATCAGCTTCGGGTTCAGCCTATAGAAAGAGTGTTCCTTGTCAGACTTCAGAGACTCTTGCTCTAGCAAGTGTCTCCTGGCTCCTTAGTTTAAGGGAACCCAGCAATGACATCCTCTTCCAAAGGGATGAGGCATGCAATGAATATGGTAGAGATGAATGAGTCATTATCTAGGATTGTCTTGTACCCAGGCCAATGGTATTTCCCACATCTCTTTCAGATTTACATGAGTCCAGAGGTGATCCTGTGTAGGGGCCATTCTACAAAAGCCGACATCTACAGCCTGGGGGCCACACTCATCCACATGCAGACAGGCACCCCGCCCTGGGTGAAGCGCTACCCTCGCTCTGCCTATCCCTCCTACCTGTACATAGTAAGTGCAGGGCAGTGCGGGTGGTGGTGAGTTCCACCTGCAGGTGGAGGGGGCAGCTTCACCTCCTTCAATTCCCACTCCTGAATGCAATAGTGATTTGTGAGAGCTAGCTACAGATTCTTTCTTTGGAGGAAGAAGCTCCATTTTTTTTAATTCCTGCTGATTCTGGGGCTTGAACTCTGGGTCTGGGTGCTGTTGTTGAGTTTTTTGTTCGTTTGTTTGTTTGTTTTTGCCCAAGGCTGGTGCTCTACCACTTTAGCTACAACTTTACTTCTGGCTTTTTGTGGTTAATTGGAAATGAGAGGCTCATGGACTTTCCTGTCCAGGATGGCTTTGAACTATGATCTTCAGATCTCAGCCTCTTGGGTAGTTAGTATTACAGATGTGAGCCACCAGCACCCAGCTTGGAAGCTCCATTCTTGCAAAAAAAAGCTGTTGTAATTGGAATGTGCATTGGACATAAATTATATACTAGTTTTTTATACTGTTATATAAAGATAAAATAACACTTGCTCACATCAGAATAGTATAAATCTGCCAGCCAAGGAAGTTATATATACGCTTCAACACTTGATTTTTTTTCTAGTACTGAGGCTTGAATTCAGGGCCTGAGCGTTGTCCCTAAGCTTTTTTTGCACTAGGCTAGCACTCTACCACTTGAGCCACAATTCTGTGTCTAACTTCTTGGTGGTTAATTGGAGAGAAGAGTCTCATGGACTTTCCTGCCTAGGCTGGCTTTGAACTTTGGTGCTCAGATCTCAGCCTGATGAGTAGTTAGGATTATAGGCGTGAGCCACTGGTACCAGGCTCCCACCCCTAGATTGCTGATTTTCACAGCAGCCTGGTTTATAGTGGAACAGGCATGCATTTCCCATTTTACCATGAAGAATTCAGAAGCAGACATTTCTTCAGTGACCTGTGGCCACCCCCGAGGAAGCTATTACTGCTTATTCAAACCCAGCATGCACTTTTTTAAGGATCTGAACTGTATCCACTGCAGATCATGGGGGCAGAGGAAATTACTCTCCAGGTGTGAAAAGTTTGCTGCTTAAGGGCCCATTTCTTTACCATTGTTGCTAAGAGAGATGGTTTGTTGGTAGATCCACAAGCAAGCGCCTCCATTACAAGACATTGCTAATGACTGCAGTCCGGGCATGAGAGAGCTGATTGAAGCCGCCCTAGAAAGGAATCCCAAACACCGCCCAAGAGCCTCAGATCTACTGCGACACGAAGCCCTGAACCCCCCCAGAGAAGATCAGCCGCGCTGTCAGAGTCTGGACTCTGCCCTCTTTGAGCGGAAGAGACTCCTGAGCAGGAAGGAGCTGGAGCTGCCTGAGAACATTGCTGGTAGGACACCCTGTTGGATGCAGTGCCCCTGTCTCTATCCCCCTGTCTACCTCAATCCTCAGATGTAGTTCAGGGGGAGTAATGAAAGAGTACCACACACTGTAGCCTGTAGCCTGTACCTGTATGCTGAGGCAGGAGGAATGCTTGAGTCCCAAAGTTCAGCCTGGGCAACCCCCTGTCAAACACACACACACACACACACACACACACGCACGCACGCACGCACGCGCACACACACACACACACACACACACACACACACACACACACACACACGAATGACTTCTTGAGTCCTTTTGAGTCCCGTGCATTGTTTGGAAAACTCACCAGAAAACCTTAAGAATATTGTTTTAAATTAGTTTATTTTCCACCAAATTTCCAGGTTTCTCAAAGCAAGTATAAGTAACATGGTTATTAGAGATGGTTCCTTTTTTTTTTTAATGCAATAGAAAATACCATTTGGCTTTAAAATAAACCAAGCATGACAGCTCTGCTGTCAGTCAAGTGTGAGGTTCTGTTCTGTTCAGTTATGGCAAGCCCCTCCAGCCAGTGGTTGGAAACCCCTGCAGGCACTGCTCAACACCAAGTGCTGATGCAAGTCAGCTTGCATCATTGTCATTTCTTTATCCCTTTGCCGGCAGTGAGAGAGAGGTTCCCAAGTAAGGAAGTCACTGCCTGAAGAAGGGTTCCATGGTTGTTACCTCGCAGTCCTTTTTGGTTAAGCCATGCAGGTCTAAACCCAAGTGTCCACCGTGGAATGCTTGTTGGCATTTCTCTGTACTGATTTTTTCTGATTTCAGAGAAAACCACTTGGGCTACTGGAAAATATGCCAGGATTTCTTTCTAACACATTTCTTGTCTTCCTGCCTGGTTTATTGGCATTCCGTAAGTAAGCCCAAAGTGTGTTCCAAGATCACCCCTGATCATACTAGAACCAGGGCAATGTCTAATTAGGCCCCAGAGGATGACTTCTTTGCTGAAGAAGCAATATTATTTGACATGTTTCCCTGGCATTTATTTCATATATTAATGTTCCCTTCCTAGATTCCTCATGCACGGGAAGCACCGAGGAGTCTGAGATGCTCAAGCGACAGCGTTCTCTCTACATAGACCTTGGAGCCCTGGCTGGCTACTTCAATCTTGTTCGGGGTCCACCAACACTGGAATATGGCTGACAGATGGCATTGTTTGCTCCAAACAGAAGCATCATTAGCCTCTGGATGCTGGGGCTACAGACTACCCAGTGGCTCCAGACAGTGAATTATACTCTATCAGGCGTCACAGTGTGGGCTGCAATCACACATGAATGGGACTCCAACTGGCCCTGTGTGTCTTACTTGTGAAGCTACTCTGGTTTCCTCTGCCAGTTCTAAAGGTTCTCATTTCCCAGGTGGCGGGACTCAAGAAAAGATGGAGAGTCTATACAAGGATCATTTCTGGTGACTGCTACCATTCACTATGCACTTTGCTTGACATTTTCAGAATATCAACCATAAGGACATTAGCTTAAAATTACTATACTTATTTAAGATAGAATGTTCATTTAATTCAAAATTATGGTTTTGTGTATATTGGTGTATATATTATGTTTAACTTTGAGCCTCATTGATAGATTCTAGTATAAATTAAAGTCATTGTATTTAGAGTAAATAGAACAAGTTGAGTATTTAGCAATATGCTTAAACTAGTGTCTTAACCATGGCTGATCAAGTAGGTGCCATCAGACAGCAGGTCACTAGTGAGTTTCTGTTATGTTCCTATGGAAACACTTTGTACTGTACATGCTATGCTTAAAACATTTAAAACGTGATGTTTTGAATGTGAATAAAACTGTGTAAACCACATAATCTCTGTACATCCCAAAGGATGCGAAATGTGACCTTTAAGAAAATGGAAACTATTATAAATTCTTGGTGATGCTACTTTTGTAATTCATATGGCTATTTTCTTTAAAGCATTTGTATATTTATTAAAATAGCATACTATGTATGTTTTATGTCAAATGCCTTCTTGAATCTTTCTTATATATTTTTAACATTGTAAAGTATTTCTAAAGTATGTTTTTACATTATGCAAATGAAACCCAATGCTTTCATCCAATGTGATTGGTCAGATTTACTGAATAAATTCAGTTCTTTTTCTTAATTATCAGAGTGTGATTCTCAGCTAGGATTGGGTTGGGTCACCTGATTGGAGGGAGCAATGTAATACAGTAGTTAATTAGGAGCTTTGCAAATCCAGTGTTCTTCTTCATTATAAAGCCATTGCTTTTTGACTGGCATGCATTGTAACTTCTGGTGCATTGAAGTAGAGAAGAGAATTGCGAGTCATTGCTTTAGGGCAATTGGGGTTTTGTTTTCTATCTTGTAGTGCATTTGCACTGCCTTGGAATATCTGCTTGCATGTTTTTTACTTATTCGTGTTTGGCAGATTAATAACTAACTTGCCTTTGGAGCAAGGCAGATTGGAATCCATATACTAAAATCTAAGGAACACTTAAAAAACAAGTCTGCTCCTTTATTTGCTGAGTGAATAGGATTCAGTATCTTGACATATGTAATATGGGACACATTTCCCCCTGTGTTCTAGTCAGATTTCTGTCACTGTGACAAAATACCTGAGACAAGTCAACTCTTAAGGTGGAGTTCCTTCTGGCTCATTATTTCAGAGGTTTCATTTCATGGTCATATAGCTCTGTGACTCAATCCATGTGGTCATGTGGGCCTGTGGTGAGGCAGCCCATCATTTAGGAGTGCATCACAGGAAAAGCTGTTCACCTCCTGATGGTCAGGAAACTCTCTTATTAGACCCCTCTTTCTAAGTGTTCTACCATCTCCCAATAGTGCCCCAGATGGAGAAACCTCACTGGGGGACATTTCAGATCCAAACTACGGCATATCTACACAACACATACATGTGATATGCATTGTTTTTTTAACAGAGGGAAACTGAAGCATAGATAAGTTTATGTTTAAAGTCACAAAGCAGGTAAAGAGATGGAGAACCTAAGCCTTGATGACTCAAGAATTCAGGCTCTTCTTTAGACTGTCCTGCTCCTAGTGAGAGACATCCAGTGCAGAGGACCCTGTGGGATTCAGTTCCTAGGGCTGAGGTGCTATATTATGGAGTTGATGAAGCTTCTCCCTCTGTGTGTGCTCACAGGCCCTGTGGCTTATCTAACCCCCAGATAAAGCTTGAAAAAACCTGGGTAAAGATGTACAACACTTAATAATTTTTATGTAATACTTAGGCAAATGATCAGAATTTAAGTTCCATTTAACAAGGTCCATTTGGAGTGGAGAAAAATTATTTTCAGATATACTGGAGCTCTGGTGGGGAGATCTGGGGTGTCTCTAAGAGTGGGTCTGCTGCGGTTGTGGTGACTGAGGAAGTGGTCATGAGAAGAGTTATGAGGGGAAGTTCGCAGCTGAGACCCATGCATCAAGGACTTGCAAACTATTCACCTTGGAGGCTATGGTTTTCAGCGTGAGATGGGTCACCAGAAAGACTTAAGAAGGCCCCAAAGAGTTCTGAGCAAATCCATTTGCATTTCTTCCTGAGAAGATGGGCAATAGCACTATGTGAGTTAAACGGACCTAGGACAGTCCAGTCCTGTAACCAACTTCTGTTCACCTTGGTGTTTAAGTTCCAGGCCCACGCTTCTGGTTGTGCGGTGGCATAGGAGAGCACTGTGGAAGGTAGATGAGGCCTTTCAACCTCAAGCCTTGCAGCCTGTCACAGCTCAACTCATTGATAGATTTATAGTTGAATGTGCTTGCTGGAGGTCACATAGTCAATCTAGAGCCTTTTCTTCGGATCTTTTCCTCTGTGTTGGCCTCAAGGTCTGTGAAATTACCAGAAGCAGAAGACGAAGACTGTTCAGAATTTGCTAGACCTAATGGGAAGTCACCCAGCTTTGCAAAGGGGGTTCCCATCTGTAGATTAGCAAATGCCTTATGTACTTTGAGCTTCCACTGAATCTCTTTCCCCTCCCCCCTCCCCCCCTCCCGCCCCCACAGCCCTCATATCACTGGACTACAAGAGCTGGTAAGAACTGAGTTCTAGTTAACAAAGCTCATTTGGAACAGAGAAAAACCATTCTTTAGAAAAATGTAGGACCTCTTGTGGAAAGATCAGGGAATATTTGCAGAGTGGGTCCCACGCCAGTGGGGCTTAAAAGAGATTCTGGATTTCTTCCCAGGTTACTGTCTTCCTGTCTGACAGTCAGAGGAGTTTGATATTTCATTGATAGCTAGTGCCTATCTGTAGGCAACTCAGTATGAACGGCAGTGTTAACTGGAGACCTCAAGGGATTTTTTTGTATGTCTTAATATGATTATGAATGACTGTTGCTTGATGCCAGGTTCCATGGCAAGGCCAATATGCCCAGCAGGAGACTGAAATGGCTAATGGACAGTGGAAACTGTGGGACCACTCTAGGAAACAACCACCACCACCACCATAACAACGACCAATTATGCTAGGCCCTACAGGGACACAGGAGGAGAAAGTTCTGGACTCTCTTCTTCAATCCCAGCAGAAAAGAAGCATGTTGTAGAGTTGTTAGAAGGTACTTGGTTATAAGTTGTATCTCCATCTGTTTCCAAAAAGGCTGAGAGCTGGTGTTTATTGTGTTTCATTCATTTCACTTCACTTTTGATGTAATTTAATTTATTTGCTTTTGCAGTCTTCAGAACAGAGCTCAAGGCCTTGAGCTTGCTAGGAAAGTGCTCTACTACTGAGCCACACCTCCAATCCTAGAGGATGGAGCTTTCTAAATGTGTTGAGAAATGTGTATAAGAAAATGGCCATTACAATAGCATGAATGGGCATTAACAACATGTTCATAAAAGTCACTTTGCACTAGAGAGAAGAACAACTTATTGTTAGGAAAATGGAGGAGAAGGAAAAAGGAATAGGCCAAACTCGATCATCAACAGGCGAAGACTGTTCATTGAGTAACAGCAAGGGGCACAGCCCTTCCCACGGGTTTGGAGGTTGTGACAGGGAGCTAGAACAAGAGCTGGGTTTTTAGAGGAGGTCTGAGCAAGGAGGCAGAGGTAAATGAAAAAGCCATTAGGTCAAGGAAGGTGGGGACCTCTCAGTTGGGCCCACAATGGGATGTTTACAGCTGGGCTTGGGTGGATTGTCCTGCCAGCACATCAAAGGAGTTCACATATACCTGGGATTTTGCCTGGAGTCTGTATGGGATTGGGACAATAGGGTGGGGGTCAATCCTTTGCTCATAGTCTATCTTGAACATGTTTGTATTGCTGTGTCCAACTCCCTTGAGGAGGGAAAGGTGTGCAGATCAGCATATGAGGAAGAGAAAAAATCGGGTTCCCACTCTGAGGGTCAAAGGCCAGAGCTTCTGTATGGCAAAGGACATAGCTAGCAAGATCAATAGAAAGCCCACAGACTAGGAGAAGATCTTCACTAGCCATACAATGGACAACGGTCTCATATCTAAAATATACTTAGAACTCAAAAAATTAAGTCCTCCAACAAGAAATACTCAAAGAAACAACCACCCCATTAATAAGTGGGCTAAAGACTTAAAGAGAAACTTCTCTGAAGAGGAAATAAGAATGGCCAATAAACACATAAAGAAATGCTCACCCTCTCTAGCCATAAAAGAAATGCAAATCAAAACAACATGGAGATTCCACCTCACGCCAGTTAGAATGACTATAATCAAGAACTCTAATAACAACAGATGCTGGAGGGGATGTGGCCAAAAGGGAACCCTACTGTACTGTCAGTGGGAGTGTAAACTTATTCAACCACTCTGGAAAGCAGTATGGAGGTTCCTCAAAAGACTACATATAGAACTCCCTTATGACCCAGCAATCCCACTTCTGGGCATTTACCAAAATGATCACAAAAAAGTCCATACTAAAGCTACCAGCACAACTATGCTTATTGCAGCATTATTTACCATAGCTAAGATAGGTAACCAACCCAGATGCCCCTCAGTAGGTGAATGGATAGAGAAAATGTGATATCTCTGTATCTATCTATCTATCTATCTATCTATCTATCTATCTATCTATCTATCTATCTATCTATCTATCTATCTACACACAATGGAACTCTATGCTTCCATCAGAAAGGATAACTCTGCCCCATTTGTAAGGAAATGGAAAAACTTGGAAAAAATCACATTAAGTGAAGTAAGCCAGACCCAAAGAAATATGGATCCCATGGTTTCTCTTATTTGCAATGATCTGTATGATTAGTCTAATAATTAGGATAATCTTAGCAGATGAGCAGAACTGACAATAAAAAAAGGTCTCCATCCCAGCAGCAGCAGCTGCCTTTCCCAAGCTGACCAGTTAGACCTCAGCATGAGAATCCATTTTGCTGATAAGAACTCTTAATTATCATCCTCAGGGATTGAGTACTTAACCCATTCAGAGATAACTGCTTCACCACAGATGAAAGAACCAGAGTTGTTAAAGCAGGTTGGGCTCCCTGACTTCCTAGAAGGCAGTAATTTAAAATTCATTAAATTAACTCATTAATGAAAGGATCTTATTTTCTAAATTAATGAGATCTTGATAATTCTCATGGCCAGAATTAACTACAGACACAATTCAATGCCTAACCAGCTCAGAGCATTCTTTCTTCATAGCTCCATTAAGAGGTATTGATCTAATGTTGTCATGAGTTGACCTAGGATGTAAATTATATTTTAGGACTAACACTAAGATTTAGAAGACACCTGGAATTGTTCTGTGAGTGCTGAGTACTGTTATGATTTTCTTTAATTAACTAATGCCAGATGTTCTGGGAAGCTTATTATATTCCAGCTTCCCCTTATCCATAGAATGTAAAATTTCAGGGAGCATTTTATTGTGATGTGTCTCCATAGAGGTCCCAATAAACCCAAATCTACTTGACTCTTTAGCCTAGTGAATATTTTTTCCAAGTCATCAAGGGAGATAATAAGAAAGAAGAATATTTCCCACAAAAGAAGGGGTAATGGAAAGTACCAAGGGCTTGGAGATAGGAGTGGATTTCATTTTGCTTTTCATAAGCCCATAGAACTGACCGCAGTTGGAGAGAGGTTTTAAGATAGCAACAGTGTCCTGTGAACATTTAGGCTTGTATGAAAAGGACATAGCATAATCTACACACACACA